TTCGTGATCACGCAAAGAGGTCTGGAGAGGCGGTCCGTTCAGAATTACAACCAACATAAAATATAAGTGTGCATGTACAAATTTGCAGTAATGTTCGGTAAATATAAACTATATATATATATATACACACACACACACAATTCATTTACTTAAATGGGTTAGGGTTATGTGTGTATATATGCATAGGCGTACAAACATACATACATGCATATGCTATGCATATATATTATAAATAATATAATATATACTTCAGGTTACCAGAAGTTAGCTAACTTTAATGAAGAGTTGGTCATGTGAGCTATAGCTAGCTGCAAGTAACCCATTATCTTCCAATAAGCATTAACTAAAACTGGCTACATAAAATATACTGACTAGATTCACGAGAGGTCGGCTAATGTGTGTAAAAGTAAAAAAAATACAGTAATTTCATTATTTTACCAGCGAGCGTACTTCGGAAGCACTGAAAATGAATGGGGTTCAATGCTGGAACTATCAGTGTTTGGAACTATCGGCCGCTCCACGACACGCGTTACTTGCGCATTTTTAAGTTCCTATGGCGGTCTATGGGAGTGTCGCAACTCTCTCTCTCTATGGCTCTGTCTGGACCACACTATTGCAGGCAAAAGAAACAATGTGCAAACGTTTCAGGTCTAGCCCTACATCAGTGGGCTTTTTTTTATATAGATTTGTTTACTTGCAACCTGTGTCTTTGTTCAGTAATCTTTGTCCTTGTTCAGTAAATGTTTAGTAACTATTACAAGCAATGCCAATAAACTGTTTTTTTTCTTTCTTATAGAAATTCATGTGTTCTGTGTACTTTATAACATTTTGAGGGCAAATTGGGCGATCACAACAGAATAAGCAATTATTATTTTTATACATTTTCATCCAAACGAGGCGATTGAAAGCCCTGATAGGTCTGGTCACGACTTTGGAATTGTTGTCTGATGGTTGAAACCACACGAGAGGCTTCTTATACTCCTGCCTAAAACTCCATAAGCCCAGGCCAGCGTATAGCCTGCCTGTACGCAGTGTACCGGTATTGCCTAGGGATAAGTAGGAAAGATTCTTAAGTTTTAAACTCTGTAAGTAGGTTGGAAACGTCTCTGATGCATGTTTATTGTGTATGCAACACATCTCCTGTCACCTATAGCTGTTGTTCAAAGGACTCCGTGTAAAAAATAAAAAGGTAAAGTAAACATAAACCATGAACATACTCGTGCGTGCTGGCTTGAAGGGGACCATTATCCTGCATGAAGTGTGAGTATGCTATGTGTAGCACAAACGGATTCAGGCATTAAGCCTCATATCCAGGATGCTGCGTTAGGCACGTTACAACTGCTGGCCGCGGGGTGAGGTCCTCGACCAGCGACCAAAACGCGCTCACCTCCCTACAACACAAGCTCTCCACCACAGTTTCCATGGGACGACACCGCCCACAACTCACTCCCTCTCCTGGTAAGCCTGACGGTGTCAATGACAGTCATGAGGAAAACTAGTTAGCACTATCAACAATAATCACACTGACTGAAGACATGACCAGCCTACTCATCGTCAGCTACGTTTGCAAACAACATTTTCACTGGAGATAGAGGTGAAAGCAGGACACTCGGCCCGGCAAACAGATACTCAAATTATACTCGAAATTTACTCGATGCCTTATTAATTTCAGTATATTTAAAGTAGCCTATGCCTCCTCTGTAGAAAATGGTTATATTACAAGACACAAATTCAGATAGCCTTCTCAGAGCCTGTTTTATTAAAGGTTTGAATGAATGAAATGTCTCTTGTATTAGAAAAAGAAATATATAATTATTACAGGTTTGAATGAATGAAATAATGTCTCTTCTATATTAAAAAAATAAATATATAAAGAAGAAATAACTAAAAGAAATACCTCCAAATTTAACAAAAATAGCTCTCACAAGCTTACAAAAACAAACTAACAAAATGTATCTTTAGTCTTCCTCTTTATCCTGTTTTTCTTCCTCATTCTCCTTGTTTGCCCATCTATGTTTTGCTTTAGAGCTGATCTTTCCCAGAAGTTTTGAAAACCAGGACATTTTCATAATAAAAAAAAAAAAAACCCAGCCAGGACAGGACGTGAAAACAGGACTGTTGGTCACCCTAACCTAGTCTAAAGTCTAGGTCTAGCGCGTACATTCAGATGCTATTTTAAGCGCGCATGCTTGGCCATAATACAGAATGAACAACGCGCATACACTGTAGATGATTCTCTCATCTACACAGATGCATTTTACTTTTTGCAAATGATACATTATTATAAGGAAAACTATTTAAACACGAGTGAAATCATTGTTGTGTTCATGACGATAGGAAAAATAGGCATAAAGCGTACACATTTACCCAAATTATTATGTGCATGTTTAACCGAAGCTAATTTGGGTGGGTTTGTCCCATCCCCGGCCCAATGTCACTTCTCTTTATTTTACGGCCCTGACGAGAACATCGATCTCCTCGGCTGTGAACCATCAGAACTGTAACTAAACCAAGCGCGCCGCTGCCTGCGTCTACCTCATGTGACGTCATCGCCGAGTCGCGTAAAAAAATAACCGTTACTAAGCAAAAACGTCAAAAACTGGACTTTAACACAATTTGGGAGACATTTCTAACTTTATATACATATCTTAACTGCTTTATGTACCCATTAATCGACAGTGGTGTTTAACCTGCACCATGGCCTTTAAGGCTTTTGTTGGTGGAAACGATTTTATATAGATCAGTGCCTTCTCCCGACCGGATTCTTCAGCGTCACGGGTTGGCTTCGGTGTGAGTGGTTGAAATAGCACGTCGATAAAGATGACAGACAAATGGCTTATCCAATGATATGCAAGGATTTTTGATAAGGCCCAGCCTTCTGAAACGCAATTTCAATGGATCGGTTCCAGATGGATGTGAGTGAAGCTAGGCGAAGCGAAATTCATCTGGCTAGGGCCAGGTTAGACTTTCCCCATCGCTTGTAATAACATTCTCATCTGTCTCTAGCCAACTTAATTGCAATAAACATACATTCTCTTGATTTATGTTTATCTGTAGTCAATAGTGAATGATATAAACGAGTGTCCTGTTTTGATAATAATACTATAATATTTTCTATTATCATAACGACCACTAATTGCTTTTGTATAGGCTACTATTTAAATGAATTCTTGCCAATTTAGTGTTAAATAATATTTTAGTTCCCTTTTGCTTCTGACTTAATCAAAGGTATTGCTGGGTTGCCATAAAGCTTTTTTATCCTATGTATCAGCAATTTTATTACCCCACCCCTTGGCTGGATACCCATAGAAAAGACACATGACATGACATTTTGTGGTTCTTGAGGAACTCAAAAGAATTTCATATGTTAGGCCTATATATTTTTTGACAATATTGTCCACTTGAAATGTTTATTAAAGCTGAAAATGAGACAGTAGGGTAGACTGGGTACAGTTGAGACACTTTTTGCGTTTTGATTTTTCACACAAAAATAGATGCTGAAAAGACGTGAATTTCCACATGATATGCCACATGACATTTCATGAGCTTGTAGACTAAGATATTATCAATCAATATTACTCATAAGTAGTTTATATTTTCCACAATTAGCTCATAAAAATAAGGTGCTTTTTGTCTCAACTTTGTCTCAACTGTACCCATATGTGGTACAGTTGAGACAGTACCATGGTACAGTTGAGACACCCATTTTTAATGATGTAAAGGTAACTAATCGTTCATTGAAAATATAATAAATAAAGACAAATAAAAAAATAACAATTGGGCAACATGTTTGTTTATTCATCCATTCAAATTCATTAATGTTATTTAAATTAGCACTGGTTAAATTTTATAAAACAGAAACAACATATTTTATATATTCATTAATAATACACAGTTTAATTATCACAAATACCAAATTTTTATTTCATTTGCAGCTTATGCTGGCTAATTATGACATTTAACCTGTTATCATAACACTGAACAACTAAACAGTGTGTTTCCTAATAGAACTCCATCGCGGGTACAGTTAAGACAGTGTGTCTCAACTGTACCCTGATGGCCACCTCGCGCATTTCTCTAGATTTTGCAATGACCATGCCTGAAACAATCCCATGAAATATGCCCGTTTTTAGGGCACAGAATAACGTTTGTGATTATACCAGTTACGTTTAACAGTCACATAAGGATAATAAGCTATTCATTGTGGAGTGTGCATGGTGAAGTGAACGTCTTACCTTAAAAAAAAAACTTTTGCCGATATCTTCGGAGCGGAGATGCGTCCATTGATCAAATTTCCCACGATCAAAGAGGACACTAATACGCATGTGCACAGCAAAAATCACAACTTGTGCTGGCTGCGCACGCAAGTTATTTAAGGTGTCTCAACTGTACCTATGTCTCAACTGTACCCAGTCTACCCTACATTACATTTAATGGCTGAATATCCTCCACCCAGTGAAGAGTAACACAACTGTTTTTAATTCCGTTGAAATACAGATATGACATTAAAAAATGGGAATATGTATTGCTGTGAGAGACCTGCTATAGGATGGAACCATCTGTAATAATAATTAGCCTACTGAATAATATGTTTCATCTAAATTTGAAGATGTAATTGAATATTTTCTATATTTAAATATTAAAACAAGAGTGTGTTAGAATCAGGTTAGAATACATTATACTCAATATAATCTACTTTTATTTAAATGGCGACATTATAGCCTATGCAAAAAGAAATGTATTAAAACATTTACCCTTGTGGATATTGTTTCTGTTTGTGACTAGGCTATACGCGATTGCTTGGGATGTCTCTACGCGCGCAGTATTATGAATGTTATTTACCGGTATTTATTTGTTTATTTATTTCAAGACGCACAGATAGAGACGAATAAATTATTCAAACGTACAGGAGTGAGCAATCGCCCAAGCAGCCAATCCGGGTCGGTGTAGAAAGTAGGGGCGGGGCTTGTGTTGGAGCTCACCTTTCTAATCCACGCTCAGGTGACCGAGCAAGAGCCGTGGCGTCAGAGCTCTCTGGATATTCAAAGTGAGATCTGACAGATAAATAGAACCGTCGCGGCGAATTGCACTACGAGCTACGATTATGAAATATGAAAGCGAAAAAGAGACGGTATTATGATTGCTTCAACGACAGAGGAATAACACAGGGACACGGAGCTGCTTAGTCGAAGTTTTGACAGGTGTCGAAGAAAAAAAGCGTTTGGACATTAAAGGCGAAGTATGTGCTATTTTACAATGCTGTCTATCTTGGTGCTGTTTTATTCTTGTGTTTTATGATTTTTCGGAGTTGTACCTTGTTTCTAATCCAGCCCGAACATGAACAAGATCTGTTAAAAACATGCGTGGACTCTTGATGGAGCCATGACTACTAAAACAAAACTCTAGTTATTTACATAACCACATAGTTAATAACCTACCTAGTTATTTATAGCTACACATACTCAGGTCATTGTCCATTCTAAAGATATTTCTCTTGTGTAGTGTACCAAGTTTGGCTTCTTTGTTGACATGGCATGAAAAATGCAACAGATGTTTTGTTTGAATTTGGTCATTCAGGAAACTTTTAATTTTTATTTAAAATGTAGCCTAATGCAGTGTGTATGCTGGGATTGGCTCAACAAAGTTGGAATTCAAACGTTTATACACTGATAATGAGACAGTCAAGAAAACTTTAACAAGGGTGAGAATAAAAATTAAAGGGGAGCTGAGCAGAAATGTAAGTTAAGGGGGAAGAAACGGACATAGAAAACAAAATATATGACAGAACAGCGGGAGGGTTTAGATTTAGTATGAAAGTGTGAGAATTCTAAGAATGCTCTGTAGGGAGGGCTGTTCGTACACATGAGAAGATCCCTCTGTGTGCTGTTATTCTTCAGCAACAAGTGAAGAAGTTGCACATCTGAAGCTTTGTTTGGTTGCACCTGTGATGGAAGTTGGAACCATGTGACTTTATGGCTGTATGTTTTTACCAAGTTGAAATAGATGCCATTTTATAAAAAAAATAATTGTATTTGTGCTTACAGCAGCAAAAAATACTGTTAACTTGTCACATATACCAGTGGTTCCCAACCCTGTTCCTGGAGGTACACCAATACTACACATTTTCAAACTCTTCCTAATCAAACACACCTGAAACAACTCCGCTTGTTTGTAAAGACTCCAAGACCAGAAATTTATGGGTCGGATAAGGGAGACTTAAAAAAATTTGCACTGTTGGTGTGCCTCAGGGAACTGGGTTGGGAACCACTGGCGTATGTTAGCTATCATCCCAACAGTTGCCTGTCATAGATATAGTCTCAATAACTCTGAAATGCGTCATCTCAAAGCTTATCCGTGATGCATTCCAGTAGCTGCCAAGATGAATATAATGGATTGTATGGTTTTTGAAAGGAGAAACCCTTCAGGTTGATTTTATGCTACTTTTATGTGGATTTGCAGTAGAAGACCGATTAACAGCTTTAACTTGTTTTTAAACATCAGTGTACAATTCCAGCCGTAGCGCCTCCCCTCGGCTTGCCCCGTCTGGTTCAGCCTTGTCTTGTGCTGAAGATTAACACACACACACACACACACACACGCACACACCACACGCACACACCCCAACCTTCAGTACTGCATAGCTGTGACATTAGACTCACTAGAGAATGCTGGGGGAATAGTGACTGATTATTACATCACTTTAACTATGTCACGATGTTGGGTAAATCATTTTTTAATCCCTGCCTCCAGTTATTTCACTAATTTCTGGTTTATTATGTTCTATTCATAAATCGTGTTTACTGAATCATCAGAGACTCCTGGTGAAAGAGTGGCACTGAATGCTTACAGGATAAAATGTCTCAATGGGACTGCAAGGAGCGTTCAGACTTCAAAAAGCACTCTCTGTGTCTCTCTCATCTCTGCGTTTGATCTGACTCGTGTAACTGGAGCATGCGTGCATCTCTTTTGCTTTGTGAGACAAACCATGTCATGCGGGTTTTCTGTGTGCAAACATTCCCTCTTCTTTCTATCATTTTTTATGATCTGCCTCATTTTGTTTGCCCTTCCCCTTTGAATCAAACAGCCTTTGCTCATTTGGTACGTGTAAACATCTCTAATGTTTTAATAATGCTAGCAAGCCAACAATGATGTAGCATGCCTGTTATATCAGAATCATGTCAGGACAGAGTTTATGTTGTTTTTCAGAAGATGATTTAATTACGAGATTGGTACTCATGAACACATCCTGAACTCGAATAGCCTAAGTTTAACGCCAAGAGAAGGCCAATAATCATTTTAAAGGTGCCTTCAGTGAGTCTTTGTTTGCCTTCTCTTCTTCGTCCTATGGTGTTGAGATTTAGTCAAGTCACCTTCATTTATATAGCGCTTTTTACAATACAGATTGTTTCAAAGCAGCTTAACTGTGATAATAAGAAATGAATGCAACAAAGTTAGTTTTGGCTGTACAGCAGCTCTAGAAGAAAGTCATTGTCTAGCTTAAGTAAGTTTTTGATTGATTCATTTCCATTGTAAAAATCATTAGGCCTAGTTATTTGGGGCCGCTTACACGACACCATTTTCAACTGAAAACAGAAAACTTTTAATACCGTTTACACGACAACACCTGTTTTTCTGCTTTCACACAAACTTACATTTTTTGTTTTTGTTGTTTTTCTCTTTTTACCTTTTCCCTCAAATAGGGTCTTGTGTTTGCTTTTGGGTTTTGTTCCCACCCATAAATGTTTTTCTCTGTTTCATAAATGACATTTTTAGATTCAATCGCAACAAATGTATATGGTTAATGCAGTTGGCTGCTGCATTTCACACAGTAGCTGTCCTGTTTGTGCTTGATGTTTTGCTGTTTATCCTCAGTCTGTAGCTTGGGATTGGGAGCTATGAGTTTTCTCAGTTTCATCTCTCCAGCAGGCACTGCTTGTTTGTACATTTTATTTTGTACTTACACTTATTCTATTTGGATTGGTGAATGGCACTCATACAGACCTATGCCATCCCGATAGATTACGCTGTTGAATTGGGTGTCTTATGAGGATTTGTATCATTTGTTTTTCTTATTGTTTATATGCATTTTTCAGGGGTGTGACAATACTCTTCACTCACAATATTTTAACACTTTTTAAGAAATCTTCTAAACTAAATATAATACTGGAAAAATACAATGCAGGTGCACTTTGAAATGTTTTATTTAATCTATGGCTGTGACGATTATTTTGGTAATCGTGTAACCGGTCGATTATTTTGACAATTAATCGAGTAATCAGATATTTTTTGTGGTACTAAAAATAGACCTATACAAACAATAATAGCCTTTAAAATGACTTAAAATAGATTTATAGTAATTCCTTCAAAAGCAAATTATCATATGATTTTGTTGAACAACACTTTTTAAATGCATAAAAGTAATATACATAATATAAACATAATCATATTATGTATATTACAAATTATAACAAATGCCTGCAGAGGGTGCCAACTGGTGGTTGTTGTTACACTTTACAGCAGATCAAATCCTTGTTTAAAGCTGTAGGGAGTTTTGAGAAAACGTTGACACAGCGGAGCCTGCCGTGAACACGCAGGCTAGTAAGCAGGGCCACCGATGACGGCGGATAAACAGTTACGGCACATTCACTAGTAGGGACGAAACATCAACAATATGCTTTACATTGACTAAGGCCTGCCCATACTTTGACTACAAACTTGGTCCTCAAATCATTACGTATTTTGCAATACATGTAATGTAACTTTATAACGTTGCACCCTTTCTGTAAGTTATAAATAGCTAGTAAGATAATATAACGGTAACTAACGTAACAGTATGTAAGTAATTATTCTAGCGATATGTAGGCCTAATGCTAGATAAGGTTTGCTAGTACATTTCAGCAACATATCAAGCCAGTGAATTAGCAGGTTTCAATTGTTGCTTTGCACAGTGCGTGACATTTTATGTTACACGGCTAGAGTTTTGACACCGAGTCAATGGGCTCTGTCTAATTCTTTCTTTTTCGCTTGTTTATCGTCATCTGTCTTTTTCCCTCTCTGCCGTGCGCACGCGCTACGTGGTTTGTCACAATCTCTGTCTCGCGTGCGCGCTCGCTCTAGATTACGGGAGATTTTAATTAGTTTGCGGCATAACTAGTTGATCACGAGTGGCTCAACAGGTAGATATATAGATAAACTCATCTTCCAGGCATTTGACCGACCAGGTTGACATTTCAGCGTGAGAAATCGGGGGTGTGGCGTGTGAAATCAATCAAATGCGTGTGTCTCACGGCCAATGCGTGAGAGTTGGCAGCTCTGCGCGTCGCGCTTCAATCTGAAACCTGCAGGGCATTTACATATTTAATTGAATCGCAGCCTTTGTGATTTCACAATAGCACTATGCTATATTATGATTTTTAAACGGTTTTACTTTTAATATATCTTGCAGCCTTAGTAAACGGTCTAATAATGTGGTTAATGGATTCTCAAGTATGGAGTGCGCCACTTTGTGTATTTTGTCTATTTAGGTTGTTTTTAACCCAACGGCTGGGTAAATATAGGACAGAACACATGTTGGGCTAATCTTACCCAGCAAGTTGTGTGGTTTGATTCATTCATTTTTACAGTAATACTAGCTATTTACTTTAACTATTTACTTTATACATGAATTAGTACTTGCAGATTAACTTAAATCATCATCTAAACTTTTGTCAAATACTCACACAACCAGGTTTACATCTTCCTTTTTTTCAATGAGTAGTTCTTAATACAGTATTTATACAGTTTTAAACCTTGTACACAATATTGCCAAAATTTAAACCAGTTTAACAAATATTTAAGAAGTAAAAATTAAACATTAAAAGTAATCCAAGTGTAATCAATCAGTCTCTGTTATCCCTTTTCTATTGTGTTCAAATAAAATCATTTATTTTATGCAAGGATTCAGGCGTTTCCATTCCGGTGCGACTCTCATTTAGGTCGGTGACTTGCATCACGTCCCTGTATGTGGCTTTGCATAAGATTAAATTATTTACAGCACAGTAACAATTTAATAAATGAAATAAAGTATACACAAACATGTATTTCACCAAAGAAATTCACCAATTTGGTGGCGCTGAGGACTGCTCTCTGAAGAGAATGCAAAAAGCCTGCGCTCTATAACCAACACAAAAACTACCGTCGGTGTATGAATGAGTGAATGAATGGGTGAATGTGAGGCAATATGTAAAGCGCTTTGGTGGC